AAAAAAAATCGAAATAAATCGCTTGAATAGGAAATAAATATTAATATAAATGATTTATTCGAATAAAATTAAATGTTGTTAGATACGATGATTGAATACTATATAAATTGAAATTTTTAATTTATTTATAATAAAGATAATAAAATTTAAAGATTAAAAAACAGTATAATCAAGTATGTATGAATCTTACAAATTTTTTTTTGAATCAATTGAGTGATTATCGAAAATTTGATAAAAATAATTCAATCGACATTTGGAAATACGTATCCCTACGTTTCCCTAAATTTCACCAAAATTCCCCTAGTTTTTCACTATCACTCGAGACTCGCCGGTGAAAAATCCTCCCCTTCACCTATACCCATACGTAACTTATATACGCAACGCTGTTCGTTGACAGAGCAAATATTTTCACGCCACAAGGCAAATGCACGCAAAAATCCGAGTCATCGTGGCAAGAAAAACCTTTCTTGCACCGGGAATCACGCTCGACGACGACGCGATCCACGCGCAGGCAAAGAATTTTCTCCTCGTGAAGGAGATCGTCGATTCCACGGTTTCGCATCTAGCATTTTTCACCTAGCATAGTCATAATGCGAGCTCCCGACGGGCTTCGAGATCTCGAGGATGAACGTCGGCGCGAGGAGATCGTCCTCGGGGAGGGCGAAAAATATATCCTTACCGACTGTCGGTAATATCGCGAATAGTTTTGATTCCGGATAATATGGGATTTTCTAGGGAGAAAGAGTGTATGTGTATGTGCGTGTGTTGTGTGTCCATGCGCGAGAATAACGCTCGTTCGTCTGAATGAATCAGATGTCGTCAACTTGATGAGGAGGAGGGAGGAATGAAAATCAAAAGCAATTATTTAAATGCGTTCCACGTCGCGAACCTCTCTCTCTCTCTCTTTCTCTCCATTGCATTGTTATGTGTTTGTTAAGTTTTTTTCTCTCTCTTTTTTTTTTTTTTTTTTGTTTTATTTTTCTCTCATTTCATCTTCTCGGTTTTATTTATATATCGTCGCTGTGCAACGACCTCCCATTTTTCGTGGCCGCTCCTTCCTTTCGCAAAATCTAGAGGGTATGTGTTTTATATATATATATATATGGAGGTTGAAAGAGGATTATAACTTGTTTTCGGTAAACTGTTCGGTGTTCGATATTGGAATTTGCGTATCAAACAGAAAATTTTCCTTTGCTATTAATAAATTGCTTAAAAAATTGAGAATAATACGAGAGAAATTTTATTTTAATTTAACGTTAAAGTCTTTCTTATTGAAAAATACATAAATTCTTTTAACAGTACATTTCATAAAAAATTCATTTCTTTGGAAACTTTAATTATAATTATATTATGCAGATGTACTTATGCAAAATTTATGGAATATTTAAATATATACAAAAGGTATAGAAATACCTTATGTATAAAATATTCAGACATGTACAAAATATATTCCAAGTAAATTATTCATTTAAATTCTATTTGTGTACGTAAATATATGAATCTATAATTTATAATAAAATACTTATATACCTTTTATAACGTCATCATGAAAATAAAAAGTCACAAAATATCTATTTCTACAAACAAGTTTAAATTCTAAGAAATAAGATAGAAAGAAAGAAAAAAAATACCAATTCTCGATCTTTCAGTCATCAAATTTTACTATTCAAGATTTTCTCTAAACATCCAACAATTCAAATCTTCAATTAAAGGTTAATAATCACAAAATATATATCCACTTCGAGACAAATTTAAATTCTAATAAATAATCAAACACAATCTTACAACACATTTCCAATAACAATCCAAAAAAAATATCCCAATTTAACAAATTTTCATTATTCAAGCAGTTCCTTTGAATCCAACGACTCCATATCACAAACACAGCACAAGGATATCGGCTGCAAAAAAAAAAAAAAGAAAAGAAAAAGAAAAGCGAATTGAAAAA